GCTGCTCCATGTACTCTGTAAACTCTGTTGCGACGAACTGTGGTCCATTGTCAGATGTCAAGCTCTCAGGTAGACCATGTCTTTCAAATATCTCTTGTAGACTCGAGATCACTTTAGAGGCAACTGTGGATCTCATGATGTCTATCTCGTAGTAGCTACTATAGTAGTCAACGACAACCAGACTCGACTCACCAGTGGGGAGTGGTCCAAGCAAATCAATTGCCAAATCTCTCCATGGTCCAGTCGGCAATGCTGTGCTCCTGATAGGCTCTGGTGGGCTGGAACGACTGACTAACTGACATCCATAGCAGGTTTTGCAGTGTTTTTCAGCATCCTTTTCCATCCCGGGCCACCACACTTTACTGCGCAACTTCTTTTTAGTTCCAACGATGCCCAGATTACTTTCGTGAGCGAGAGACAACACCCTGGGTCTGAGTTTCTCCGGGATAACGATTCTTGTCCCTCTTAGTATCAATTGTCCGATGCTGCACAGTTCACTACTACATGGGAGGTATTTCTTGTAAGCTAGCTGATCCCACGGTTTTCCGTTTCCGCATTCCTTGACTGCACAGAGTTCTTCATCGATTCCTGAGGCGTCTTCCACTTCTCGTGTACTCATAGCACAGGGGGGTCGCATTTATGGATACAAATCTGACATATTCTTTGGCTTCAGCTGAATGACTGCTGCTGGTTTTTAGATTTCCCACTAGCCTTGAGAGGGGGTCAGCAATGTTGCTCTGCCCAGGCTCATACTTGACCTTGAATTTGTATGGTTGCATTCGTAACACCCATCTTTCAATGTGTGCGCAGGGTTTTGACCTTGGGCCGTAAATAACTTCCAGCGGCTTGTGATCTGTAACAAGATCAAATGGCACACCATACACATAGGGATGGAACTTTTCGCAAGCCCATACGAGTGCCTGAGCCTCTTTCTCTGTCTGCGAATATCTTATCTCGGTGTCTGTCAGACTACGACTTGCATAGCAGGGGACTCTCGGTCCATTCTTCTGCTTTTGGGTCAGTACCGCTCCTAGTCCAACTGGACTGGCATAGGCAATTACTTGGGTTGGGGAATCTTTGTCGTAATACCCCAAAGTCTCAGCACAGGCCAATCGCTCTTTTAGCCCCTGAAAGGCCTTCTTCCGTTCACCTCCAAAAACGAAAGGGGTTCCTGACTTTGTAAGGCGACGTAAAGGTTCAGAGACCGTTGCCAGGTCGGGTATGAAGCGGCCACAGTAGTTTACAAGCCCAAGAAAACTTCGGGTTTCTGATACCGTCCGAGGTTCTCGTGCCTCTTTTACGGCTTTCACCTTTTCTTCTTCTTTTCTTTTCTTCCCGGACAATACCATGCCAAAGAATGTGAGCTTATCCATGCTAAACTGGCACTTTTCTGCATTGAGGGTCAGTCCACGTTCCTTTCATCTCACGATGGCTTTCTTCAACCGCAAATCGAGCTCTTTCTGGTTTTTACCATGTACGATGATGTCATCTGAAATGTTCTCTTGCCCTTCTTTTCCCTCAAGTGCCGTCTGGATCTCGTACTGGTACTGTTCGGAAGCAGAGTTAACACCAAACAATAGTCTCTTGTATCTGAACAGACTGCAGTGGGTAGCAGACGTAGTATTCTCTCGGGATTCTGGGGAAAGTTCAAGCTGGTTCAAGTTGGTATCCCCACTTAACGTCAATTTTGGAAAATACCTTGCTGGCTCTTATGCTCTGAGTAATCTCATCAACAGTAGGGATCGGGTGTCTGGCTCTCCGTATTGCCTCGTTAGCCCTTCGCGTGTCAATGCAAAGAAGGATGTCACCCCCAGACGTTGGGACAACAACAATTGGGTTAACCCATGGTGTGGGCCCTTGTGCAGGTTCAATAATGTCTAGTTCAATGAGTTCTTTAATCTTTTCTTCCAACTTTGATCTCATGCTGAACGGAGTCCTCCGCATCGGCTGTGCTACTGGCGTCAGATTGGGGTCGATGTGGAGTTGTACTGCTCCGTCTTTCAACTTTCCAACGCCGCTGAAGACATTTGGGTACTTCTGTTGCAGGATCCCACCAATGGTCTTTGGGTCTGCACTTACTGCAGCGATGCCAATCCCTATTTTCAGTTCGCCTAAACTATTTCAGTGCCCTTCCCCAGAAGGGGGTCTCCTTCACCACTGATCACACAAAATTTGGCACTAGCAGTGTTGCTTCCTGCAGAGACTTCACAGGAGAGTGTTCCTATCACATCAAGTGGTGTCTGGGATGCGTAGGCATAGAGTTTCCTACTCGAGCGAGCTGATTCACACTTCACTTTGTTTTTCTTCAACCACTCCCCTGTCTCTTTGTCAATGATGTTAGTGCTTGCNATTTCAGTGCCCTTCCCCAGAAGGGGGTCTCCTTCACCATTGATCACACAAAACTTGGCACTAGCAGTGTTGCTTCCTGCAGAGACTTCACAGGAGAGTGTTCCTATCACATCAAGTGGTGTCTGGGATGCGTAGGCATAGAGTTTCCTACTCGAGCGAGCTGATTCACACTTCACTTTGTTTTTCTTCAACCACTCCCCTGTCTCTTTGTCAATGATGTTAGTGCTTGCTCCAGAATCTATGATCATGTTCAACTTACAACCTCCAACGGTTACTTCAATTTTCTCCTCATTCGTGCCTCCTACCGTAAAGGCATACACTGGTTCCTCTTCTTTGTCGTGGGAACCAACCATATTTGCAGCACCTCCCTTGGGGTTCCTGTGGCCTTTGGTTTGTTTTTGCTTTTCTTCATCTTTCTGCTTTGTCCTACACTGCTCTTGAAAATGTCCTTCCAGCCCACATCGATGACAGAATTGACATCTTGCTGGACAGTTGGAATCTCGACCGAAATGTCCGGTTCTACCACATCGGTGACAAGTTTTCTCACGGCCGGTTTTGGTACCTCGTGACTGACTTCTCTTGCCATGGTCTCTCTTTGTTCCCTTTATGCGGTTTACACTAGCTGAATTCTCTCTCTTTTCTTCTATGGTCATTGTAGCAAGCTGTGCGTCGACTTTTTCGCAGTTCTCGGCGATTTCAAGGGCTCTAGATAAAGTGAGGCCTTGACGTTCTTCCAGGAGTTTTCGTTTTATGTACGTGCTGGTGCACTTGCAGAGGATTTCATCACGAATTTGGTTGCCTGTGTCTTCGCCATAGTCACAATCTTTCGATGCTCGTCTGAGTCTGGTTGCAAACTGTCGGATTGTTTCCCCTGGTGCTTGAACTAGCTGTCTGAAACAGTGTCTAGCATACGTAGAGTCCACTTTGGGAGCAAAGTATGCTTTCCGGTAATCTTTCACATCTCCCGTGTTCGGTAGGGTAAGGAAAAGATCTTGAACATCGGGTCCCGCGAGATGGAGCATTAATGCACGTCTCCTCTGCCTGTTGTTCGCGTTGTTTTCATTTAGAATTAAGCCTTTGCCGACTGCAAATAGTTCGAACGCTGTCAGCCACCGCTTCCATCGCAAGCCAAGCGTGTTTTGGTCCCCATGACAGTCGAATGTTTTGATATGGTTTCGTTCATTATCGTCCATGTTTCTCGCAAACTTTTCGTCTCGCTGACTTCTTGGGGTCTTGTTTTACCCTCGTCGCCAATGTTGTGACCGATCTAGTCGGCAAATAAGGAAGGATTACAACGGATTCAACCTTAGACGATGGCTTTATTCCGCCTACACGACTCGTGGTCCTTAATCGTATAGTCAGGCGTTCCAATACCCTACTGAGGGCGAGTCTGGGTCCTGATACACAACAGTAACCACCACAGAACACAAATGATGACGTTCTGACGTAGATATAACGATCTTTTAAAAAGATGCTTAAATTTTTCTTTGATTTATATTCAGTTTCACGTCATATTTCTAAGCATTACTCCAAGCTTGGAAAGTCTCCATATTTTGTCAGGCCCATTTTATCTTTACCAGATAAATTTAGCCTACCAAAAGGTTCGTTAACATATAATATTCGTATGACCTTGTAATAGCCTGAATAGTTGTTGTAAATACCCATCAGCAAAGGAGCATGACCATACATACATAGATTATACAAACATATACGAGCTTCGGTGAGCAGTATCGAGGTGAATTGTGATTTTCCAAGTCCTTTAGAGCTGAATAAATGAAACCATCCATTTACAGTTAGGAGAGCTAGACAACAAAAAGCTTTTTTTGCTTTTTTTAAAGAAAATAACCCAAACAAAGCCTTGCATTGAGATGATACAATCGTTATTATATTGAATTTACTGGCCCGCCATTTTGGACTTGGCGAGTGGGGGACTGGACCCAGTTCCCTTCTAATCCTTCTCCCGTTCTGCGGGAATTTTTTTGACTGTATTTGATCCTGAGCCTACGCCAACTGTTGAACACTTGTTCCAGAAGCTTAGCGGAGACAAATTCTTTTCAAAAATTGACCTTAGCAAGGGATATTGGCAGATAAGTATACCAGAGGAGGACATACCGAAAACCGCGTTTGTAACAACTGGCAGGTAGCACGAGTTCTTGAAGATGCCGTTTGGAATGATTAACTCGGCGGCAACGCTGAAGCGTGCAATGAAGAAATTGATAGAAGATCTAAATAATGTCGACTTTTACTGGAATGATATATTGGTTCACACCCGTACGTGGGAAGAACATATTAGAATCCTTAGAGAGCTGTTTTCGCGCCTTGTACAAGCTGGGTTGACTATTAGACCTACGAAGTGCCTATTCGGAGTAAACAGTGTGGATTTCCTGGGCCATCGACTGGAGCAAGGAATGATTGGTCTACATCAGGATAACGTGGAGAAATTAAAGATGCCTTAAGGCCAAGCACAAAGAAACAGTGCGGTCATTTATGGGTCTAACAGGATACTACAGAGATTTCATTCCCAACTTCGTAAAGATCGCAGCGTCCTTATCTGATGTCACACAGAAAGGTCAACCCCATAAAGTTGAGTGGGGTGAAGCACAAGAGAAAGCCTACCAAACAATCAAGTCCTACCTAACAAGTGAACCTATTTTACGACTCCCCGATCCAGCTAAAACCTATTTCTTCCGGACGGACGCTTCCAACAATGGAATTGGTCCAGTATTGATGCAAAGGCAAGATGAGAAATTATTCCCGGTTTGTTATGCAAGCAGGAAATCGTTAAGTGCGGAGCGCAACTACTCTACAATCGAGAAAGAGTGCCTAGCGACTGTATGGGGAATCAAGAGATTTCATCTATATTTGTACGGTGTACCTTTTGTGCTGCAGACAGACCACGAGCCGCTGAAGTACATGGACAGTGCAAAATATACCAACGCACGACTCATGCGATGGGCGATGTTACTACAAAGGTACAATTTCAAGGTGGAAGCCATTGAAGGATCAGAGAATGTTGGAGCGGATTATCTTAGTGGAGTAGAGGAGTAACCTGAGAGACACCGGACTACCCCTGTTGTACATTAGCTAACAATTAGGAAAGTTTATCGAGTTAGGTTCTGTTGTGGAGTCTTACTTCATGGAAACTACGTTCATTTTTGGAATAAATCTTCTTGTTGCTGTTCCGACAATCCTGCGTTCAGTTTAGTTTGCAAGCTACCCGTCCTCCAAAAGATTACCCGCGTAAGACTCTGGAGGGTTCTAAGTTTTGATTTAACAATTGTGATTTTTCCCGCTTGTTTCACACTGAGAGGTCATGACACGCATATTGATTTTCTGTGGGTTTTGTTTCTGGTTGGCAGGATTGGCCCTCTGATCCAAAATTAACGCTCTTTGTTGCGGCTAAATAAGCTTTTAGGTTGTTTAATTTTCTCCAAAGTGCCTCATGGATTGAATAACTAAAAGCGACTTTCTTTTGTCCGCGAATGTGATGGTTTCCTGAAATGTTTTGACACGCTGGGCCCACAACCTCGAATGTCAAATGAACTTGACGGGTTTTGTTTGCGCCCTCTGCCACTGAAGAAACAAGTTTTAGATACAATATTCTGAGCGTCTAGTATTTCTTCGATTAGCCATTAGCTTTCGATTGGTTTCCAAATTTTTCATTACTTATTGTTAGAGCTGTTCTGATACGAAGTTCATACACGTGGGTTTACTTTCTAGTCCGGCTTTTTTTGTTAGCACCTCTACTGCTTTCCAGTTTTGATTTCTGCCGTGATTTGCTTGCATTTTAGCGTTTTCGTTCGAATTGCGCGTCGACGTCGCTTCACTGGAATTGACCTTTGGCTACTTGGATTGTTTTGTGCGACGATTATTCGCACTCCTCTGTTTGTCTTTTGCTGTTGTTTCTCTCTTCCTGCCGAGGTTCAAGTACCGAAATTGAAATTTCATGGGATCGCTGTCCGCGGACTTCAATTCCTCCTAATAAACTGATATATCATCTAGCAAATCAATCATTTCCAACGAAATCGTGGAACGTAGCTCCCAATCAGGACAACCTTCCAAGCGAAAACGATTTCCTTTGTTCACACCTCCACGCGGGACGCCACTATTTCTTGACAGCCCTGAATAAAAGTTTGCAGACTTCTAGGGAAACCAATTTCCGATTGATTTAAGCGTTTAATTAGTCTAAAAATAACTTTGGTGAAATTCACATATCCCAAGGGCTAGACTGGGCGTTTCCGTCTCTGTCCCATTATGGCTCTTGATAGGTAACTCTTTCCTTGTAATGTCAAAGCGCTCGATGTAACAGTTTCCGTGACTTTGTGAACCGATAGTTGCTTAACTCTTTTCAGCAATAAACGAAGAAACTGAAATTAACGGTGGTGCTTAATTAATGCTCTAATTTAAAGCAGTTTCTTTTAAGATGTTTTAATCGCTGCATTGGTGATGAAACGTCAAACAAAACCCGGCGCTTGTTAAATTTCTCTTCAAAATAAGAAATCATCAGGAGAAATGTTCTCTTAATTTGCATCGAAACTGCCTCTGAAGTGACCACTGTAGCAGTACAATAAGAGTTTCTAAGGTTGCAAACAATATTGTCTGTCAGTCAAAATATCCAGACGATCTATCAGTATTTATTGGTCACAGCTTTGTCGGATGTTAATGTAATCACAGGAAGGTGGAAATGATATATGGTCAAATATTTGTTAAGGCAGTATTGTTAATGAAAAGAGTCGGCGAAAACCCATCGACAATCTTCATGCACATTTTCTTATTTGATTTCCAATCTCATTTCTAGTCTTAATCTTATTTAAAACTTTGTCATATTTTTAAAAGCTTCGGATTTTATTTTTCCGACATGAAGGCCTATTTAACGACCTTTTTAATCCATTAGTTACGAGTTATGTGGCAGAGAGCTTTTTCATTTTATACAGAAATATTTCTAAGTATCTTTTTTCATCACGTCATTCCGTAAAACAAAAGAGATTCTCTCGTTTTTTTGCGTCGATTTTAAGCGTAAGTTTGCTCTTCAACCATCAAAGATTAACAATGGTAACTGCAAACAAGAATACATGGTTTCTGCTGAAATATTTCTCACACTGCACCCGATGTTGCTTTGCAAATCCTGTGTTTTGAACAAACAAAAGCCAATTTCTTTGTTGTTTAACGATTCATCTGCTTTCGAATTAGTGAACATTTTCTAATCAATCTTTTCGAAATAGCATTTCTGAGTCTTCAGTGATAACGCCATTAAACGTTTGCGAGATGGCCAAATGATTAGAGCAATTTTAAATTGAGATTTTGTTATGAAATTTTTGCCTTCACCAGTTAGTTTATTGACATTATCTGACAATGCTTGTTAATTTCGTGGCGGTAGAGTTTGATCACTTCTTTGTCACGTGGACGTAACGTTTGTCATTAAGGGCCTGTTTACATGGAGTGGGGGACCCCGGTCTAGCGGGGTTGGTTTCTTTTGTTTTCACGCTCTGGGGGACACAAAACAAAAGAAACCTACCCCACTAGACCGGGGTCCCCCACTCCATCTAAACAGGCCCTAAGACATAACTACTGCAAAATGACAACTTCCATCATCGGCGTTACTTTCCCCTAGTACGCATTAACTATTCATGCATCCAAGGCGATTCACTAGTCTTAAGCAGTAATCTGTGAGTTAAAGAGTGTCTCCGGTAAGCAAAGAGTGCTTCACTTTGTTATAATTATGAACGAAGAAGACGATGAACATGACCATGTTGAAGGTTTACCGACCGCGACGTTTGCAATGGTAGCAGGAATTTGTAGCTCACTATTTGGTTTATTTGCAGCCTTAACAAACGGCTTTCTTCTATTTACAGTATTCAAAGATCCGTACAATTATTTTCGAGCTCGCGCGACCACGTACTTTATCCTTAGTCTTTCTTTCATTGATCTTCTAAAAGGCTGTCTTGTGCAGCCAATGTATGCTGCGTCTATGTTTACCATCTCTACCGGAGGCCAACCGCAGAAACTTTATGAAATCGCTCTTATTTTCAGCCATGTAACCACAAAGATATCAATTCTTACAGTAGTTGCGCTATCGCTGGATAGATTTTTAGCTGTCAAGCTTCCATTGAGGTATAAAAGACTTAAATAAAATAAATAAAAAAATAACAGTGCGAAAAGTAATTGTAACGCTTTAATCTGGATTTTCTGCATTATGTTTGAAGCTTCTCATTCTTTGGATAAATATGAGGAAGTATTCCACGTAATTGATCTTCATCTTCAAACAACTATTCCATTGACTATCATGTGTGCCCTATACACCGCGACTTACATCGAATTTCGCCGTTATTCAAGAAACGTTGTTTTTGTGCGAGAAAACACAGGCGGACGGTGACGCATTTTTCTTCGAAACATTAGGTTGGAGAAAAAGATTGTTTCCACTGTTGTTTTAATTATCATTGTGCTCTTCATATCTCTATTGCCGTATTTAATCGTGACAAATTTACAAGAACGCTGTAAAGAAGAGCTTGGCGGTGAATGTAGCGAGCCAGGGTTTTTGCTTACTAAAGCCCTCTCCGTACCGCTGTTGTGTGTTAGCTGTGCTTTGAACCCGTTTCTCTACCCTTGGAAAATACCACATTACAGGCAAGTTTTACGTTCAATTGGGGGATGAATTTGTCAGAGATTTCGTCTTAGGAGCCACACTGTTAACACATAAGCGTTAAATATTCCGTCGGTACTAGCATCTGCCAGTTTAGTCGAACAAAACACTCCAGCCGTTGGCCATCTTGAGAAAAGACGATCAGAAGAGATTGTAAACGGTGATTGTGACTTGAGAAATTGAAACTTCACGATCATTAATTCAAAGGTGTGGCAACAATCAAAGTTACAATTTAAGAATTTTTCTCTCTCTCTCTATTTTTTTTTTTTTAAACCGTGGTTACATTTTTTTCACCTGTAAGGTAGGATGAAAGCAAAATTGGCTAACGTGCCCCATGCTGCGAGTCAACTCAAAACATCCTTTAAATATTTACCATGACTGCTTTCATTTTAAAGGTATGCTGCGATCATCTGCAAACATTTCTTTCTGTAAATCAGAAAAATAGGAATACAACCCTTGTTCGCAGGTTATTTAACTTAGCGCCATGAATATCATTAGGTTAAAAAACTGAATATTGAAAGTATAGTGACCAGTCATGATCTATTACTTTACTCACTGCGAGGCATCAAAACTTTTAGCTCTATATAAAAGCCTGGCCTTCACTGCGACGCAAGCATTGCATGCGTTATTAAGGAGGATGGACTTGATATAAGCACTGATAAGTTTCAACACAAGAATATGAAAACCTTGCGTTCTTCCTACTCTTATGCTTATATATATCACGGCCTTTATTTTCACCTCGCTCTGCAGAAAGCTTGTTATGCTCATGCTTATATAGTCGAACCCCGTGTTACGGACACCTGCTCAATACGGAGAGACAACACGTTATTACGGACCTTATTTCTTGTCCCTGGTGAAAGTAAGCCCTCACATTTTCTCTAAATTCAACCCGGTTTATGCGGACACTTTTTTTGGCCCTCTCAGTGTCCATTAGGGAGCTTAAGCAACAACGACGGCGACGGCAAAAAAGCCATAGGTTTAGATTAGCAAAACAACAACTTAGCGCGTGAATCACGTTTTTTTTGTACATTTCTTAGCCGTTGTTGTACGGCTACAACGTGAAAGTGCCTAAATTCACGGTTTGTCGAGGACGGGAACACAGGCAACAACTTTGATTTTCTTTTCCTAAACTTTGATACAGTCCTTTAGAATTCAACTCCAAAAACATTTGCCAAAATTTTACGAAGTAAACGAGATGTAGTAAGCGCGATAAAGTTTGAAGCAGCGCGAATTCACTTTTGAAGTGACGTTTTTGTAGCCGTCGCCGTCGTTGTTGCTTAAGCTCCCTATTAACGGGCTCAGACTTTACTGTGCGCCAATGTTGCTTTAAAGTCGGACCTAATTCAATTAAGGTTCGGTAAATGAGTGGAGCGGCGTCTGAACCGAGCCTAACTTATGTTTGGATTATGCTTATGCTTAAGCTTGTGCTTTCTTTGTTAGTGAGGAGGTGGTTCTAGACGTTGATAAAATAAAAGGGGCACGCAACGACTGTTTTCTGTAAAACAGCTGTTTGGAGAAACAAATACTGTCTAGAATTTTCTTTTGCTTCCGGACGGCTAAAAATTTCTAGATGAACGTTCGATTCATGTACAATTTTCGAAACTTAATCTAATTAATTCCCTACGATTTTCTGCAGTTAAATTTTTTACATTTTAATACCCAGGTCACACTATCTTAGAAAAGGGAAACCTAAAATTTTCGGATTCTAAAATGTGATAGAAGGAGGAATCAGAAAAATTTTCACTTTCGTAAAATGTTGAATTGCACCTAAAATTTCCGGCAAAATAACACTGAAGTCCTTGTAATTTCGAAAAGACTTAAGTTCCCCTGGGATGACCGAACAGAGATCTAAAAGTACTTTGGATAGCCTAAAAAGTGTTTTCAAAGTATTTTGGAAGAAACTGCCGTTGGGTGCCCCTGAAATTAGTATACTAAGAGATGTTGGGAGAATTAGATTGATTGCAGAAGTCGTTTTATCTCCTAAACTAGGTAATCTTTAAGAAATTATGCTGTTGTTTTTACCGTGGGAAGTAAGTTGAGCTTAAAGATGCTTTGTGAAAATCATGCACTTGTTTATTAGCGAATAAGCAAATGTTAAGTGACATGCGTTGAGTGAAAAAGTTAACAGAATTGATTCTGAAAGGATTTGGCTGATTCAACATACATGTACATCAGATGTCTCATATGACATTTGAACAGTATAGCTGCTAAATCCTAGAGCAAATGGTTCTCGAGTTTCGGAACTTTGCTGTCGATCAGTGTCTGGAAACCTAACGCGTCCTTTACACACGAAAAAGAGGCGAAAAAAGAATGCAAATAGTAGGGGCTGAAGGGATCTATAAGGTCCCATCATTATTTCAAGCAATATTCCCTCATCACGTAGACTGTAAATTAATAGATGGAAAAGAAATATAGTTGAATAGTCATAGTCTTATTAGCAAGAGGTAACATTTGTTGCAGTATAGTTGATTAATTTAGGCCCCGTGCAAAGGTCGATCTTTTCATGTACCGAATGTAATTGCCCTTTTGAGACCTAAATAACACAAGTTCGACGGGTGATTCAGACGTCAAACTTGACTAGTCGGGCTCAATTCATTTTCACGATGTTCAGTGGTTTAAAATCCTTACAAGTCGAAACAAATTTTTAGTAATTTATGCGTTAGGTTCGGCACATGAGAAGTTCGACGTTTTTTTCACTTTGCAACGAAGTCGCTCACGAAATCCCGTGTTGGCCACTCGATCTTAATTCATGGGTCGACCCAAATTAGACATGTCGCACTTTTGTATTGATTCAAACTTCGATCTCTTCATCTACTTGATTGAAGAGATTAGGTTAAGTACATGAAAAGATCAACTTTTAAACTGGGCCTTAGAGTTATAAACATACCGAGGACAATGACAGGTGGTCTTAATTGTTCGTTAGGCGAAACAGCTAGGATTAAAGAGACGTCTGACGGAAACAAAACATTGTAAAACCATAGATACTTTTGGTTTTTGGCCATCTTAGCTGAAGAAGAAACAAAAAGCACACTGCAGTGATAAACATAAGGAAATATAAACACTTTTGTGGAAAGAAATAAAACTTTAACTTTTGCCTCTCCAAGGGAGCTTGCAGAGTATCTGCGGTTTCTCGCGGGCAACGACACCGCATACGAAGAATATTTTTGTTGGAAGACACAGTATCAACGCATTCGAACCCGGCGTGCTTGTGAATTGTGCAAACAACTTCATAACCAAAGCCTTTATACACCGTCGAGAGTATACGCAAACATGACAAAATTCTGGAATAGAAAGCAGTGTAAAAATCGTATGCACTAGTCACTTTCCCTTTTGGCACGGTTCGGATGTGGTCCTAGGATCTAGATATTAACTTCTCCTAGAGGTTTTTAGGCCATATGTGTTATCGGAAATGAATCACGGTTCTTAACAATAGCGAAAGTTCGATCTGTTAGTCAAACTAAAATTCTAACATGACTCTGAGGCTTTAGTAGCCCCCCACGAGCTCCCTTAAGGAACGCCTGCGTGGGAGGCTAAGGATTTAGGTACAAAATTGCAAATTTTTCACGACGGCATTGTCTTTAAATTACCTGAAGAGACTTGAGCACAACGAAAACCAAACCAAATATAGAAATATGACCAGAAAGCCTCGGAGACTTGTTAGAATTTTAATATACCGAACGTGGGCTATTTCGTGACACATTTTGGCGAACACCTCTTCAGCCAGGAACAACTTAGATATTTTATTAAGCACCATATCTCCTCTATTTAGTCCCTGGCTGCCTATTCTTCGTTCACAAGGACCGTTCAACATTTTCGCTCTGTTTACACGGAACTGAGAAACGAAATAAATATTATCCTTTGTCAGTGGTTTTGATACCTGTCCTTGCGCAGAGCGCTCACTAAGGAGATCTTAAATGGCGTCTCGCAGCTGAGTTACCATGCATCCATGTAACCACGCCTTTGTTGTACAATAATTTAGACTGTTATGGTGTTCACACCGCGCCGGTCAAACTGTTGACCGTATAAGACAATTGAATTGAATTGAAATAACGTGAAAAGTAAAATTTTGACCTCTATTTTGGCGTTCATATTCGTTTGAACAGGTGAGGCGTCTACATTTTCGTTCGTTTAAGGTGGTTCCGTGTGGACGGAATACCTAGACTTCAACTAGTCGACAATTTGTCTAGTGCCGTGTGAACGTTGCTTTAGTTCAACCTTCAGATCTTTATCCAAAGACACAAGTCCTGCATTGGAAATGCCATCACGCAAGACGTAATTACGTTATACTGAGTTACTGTAGGATGTTGTTTCACCGGTGTTTCCATCACATTCACACATATGGAAGAGTTTTCAACATAAATGCACAGTGTAGACTACGAGCAGTCTCTCCTTCTTAGTCTGTCGAGCCACAGGCAGCCCAAACTCATTACATGAACGCGGACGTGACTCTTGCTTGCGAGCGGTGTTGTGTTACAAACGGTTATTTAAAAAGGCTTGTATGGGATGTAAACGGTTTTTCTTAAAAGAGAGAAAAAATGTTATGTTTTTAAATAAAATCGACGTACCTTTTGCCTTGTTGTATTCTTTGTAGTTTGCCCGCGTCTCAGGCCGTCTTGAAGCGTTTTCAGCGAGTTAGCGCTATTTCGGTGTTCCACTGCTAAAAGAAAGTGGAACACCAAAACAGCGCTAGCTCGCCGAAAACACTTCAAAACGGCTTGAGACGCGGGCAAACAACAAAGAATACAACAAGGCAATAAGTTACGTGGATTTTATTTAAAAACATAACATTTTTTCTCTCTTTTAAGAAAAACCATTTACATCCCATACAAGCCTTTGTAAATAACCGTTTGTAACACAACACCGCTCGCAAGCAAGAGTCACGTCCGCGTTCATGTAATGAGTTTGGGCCGCCTGTGGTCGAGCGAAACGCGCGAGACACGAAAGTGACAACAGAGCGCGTTCGCCGCTCGACGCTCGGGCGCGAGTGCACGCTCCTCACTAAAACTGAAGAAAAAGAGAGGCTGCTCGCAGTCTATGCACAGTGTGTTTTACGATTTTCCTCCGAAAATAAATTCTTATGATTCATATTAGCAATGAAATAACGTTGCTGATCCACTTGTGGAAACAAACTGAAAAATCCTGAGCGGGCAGGAGAGACCCATCCTGACCGCCGTTTGTGGAATGATTTATTTGCTCGGTTTTCGATACTCTTTCTGATGACAGTGATCAGAAACAATTTTACTATCTCAGCTCTTTGCATGCGCAGTTTTATTGTACTTCTCTTTTAATTAATGCCTCTTATGATAACCCTACTCATATGTCAGTTGTAGTCACCTACAATAATAGCAAAACAGCTGTCTATGGCTACAATCCCGCTCTGTTTTGAGTTCTTTCGGAGTCGTGTTGATGTCTCTGCATTAATAGCGGAGCTCCACCCGCGCGCGAAGCGCGCGCGTGGACGGAGCCCCATAGCTAAGGAAATGTGGTAATCTACCCATCCGAGAAAATTTGGTAATCACGTGACCGTACGACCGTCCGTCCGCACCACAGGGAAACCAATGTTTACTCTCACACTTTCTAGGTAGTGTGGGAGCCCAATAGAAAACTAATTGCACATCAATGTTGTGATCAATTGACAGCTGTCAAAACAGGATATCCGCTGACCAGTATCACCTGACTGTACCGCGGGCTCAAGTGTCGACCCATCGAGGTCGAGTACTTTTTTGAAGTTATCCGCTGACAAATTACCAGTTTCAAATGATCGCAGGCTCAAATCTATTTTTTCCAATGATTCATATGAAATATGTTGTGTTTATGTCACTATGGCCCCGCACAATCAAGATTTTGATTTCAAACTGACCTCGGACGCGAAAATTCAGCCACTTTTTTAAAAATAAAGGCGGGGAAGACCTTTTCTTACCATGGTCACGGGTTGGTCACGCTCTACGTCCAATTTTTGTACTCTGATTGGTCAAAATGTGACAGGTGAGTTCATGCGGAAAACTTATGCAGCATCTTGAAAGTTGTTTACTTTTACAGCTGAAGCTGACAGAGTTTTGTGTCAACTTGTGATGTTTTTAACTGTCTAAATCTTTTTCCACTGGATGTACAAAATGAAATACAGCTGCTATCAAGAGTCTTCTGTTATCCATGGCTGGTTTGTTTTTTGGGTTTTTGGTTGAGAAATGCGTCGCTTGTCAAAATTGGGTAATCCGATTTCGGATGGCATCGTTTTCGTCTTTCACCTTGCTCAATGCGTAAGAGTATTTAAAAGTCTCAAGCAACTATTGCCTTCCTTGATATCTTTCAGGAACTGAATCTCGAATGGTAAGCCTGAGTAATTATTGTATTTGATGTTTGTTTTTGTTATATCTAATTTCATGAAGTCTAGCACAGTTTATGCGGCAAGTTTTTGCACGTTTGTTGAGATTTGAGTCAATGATCTGATCTAGTATCAGGTTTGATATAAGCTTACAGAACTTTGAATGGCATTCAGATATATTTTCTCACGGCTAATAGAAAAAAACGTTCCGAAGAATATTTAGTTATAAATTTGGCTGTAGAAAGAAAACTTTGAGTGATTTTCTTGTTTGGAGGAGTTCATCTTTGAAAAAAAAAAAAAACAAACACCGGGAGGCCAGCTGAAAGTAAAACAAAATAAACTTAAGCTTAAGCTTTAAGCTTAAACACTCAGGATTTTTAGAGACACTTTAATACTTGTCTTCGTGAATGAAAATTGTTGTCACTGTAAATGTTTTACCGAATTATATTTCTCTTATTGATTGTTAGTAGTCTCTCTTGCAATTTTAATCGCTTGTCTGTGGTGTTTGTTTTCATCGTTCATGAACATCGCTTGCAGGAGTACTTAGAAATGTCGCGCGTATCAAACGCTTTATAAGATTACACATCGTTATAACTGGA